TAGATTAATGTCATACCCAGGAAAAAGCAATTGCAGGTTAGGGTTCATGCTCAAGGGTATAACAGAGTAAGATCACTCATGGTATTCACAGGATTTGAACCAGCAACCTTCCAATTACTGGCACAAATTAATAGCCTCAGAGCCACGACTGTGCCTTATACCACCAAACAGTTACTTTATTTATATTTGGGGTGACAAGAGAACCTATGTTCTGTTATCTGAGTGTATGATGTGGCTTATAAACATGGATCAGTTTTGTTTGGTAGGCAGGTGCAGTAGAATTTTGAAGTCAGTCCTGAACCTGACAGGAGGCCAGTGCAGGGAATACTGCACTGTAGGGGTAATGTGTCCAAAATTCCTGCTCCTGGTGACAATTCAAGCTGCTGCATTTCGAATATGCTGCAAGGTGTTTAATGTATGGTGTGTGCTCCCAGATAATTGAGCGTTACAGTAGTTTAACCTACTATATACAAAAGCATGTATTCGTTTCTCAGGGTCTTGAGTAGTAAAAAAAAGTCATAGTTAGGTAATGTTATGTGTCATGGCGTGGCATGGTGAAGACGGGGAAATGAGGGTGACAATCCACTTACAGCTCCTAGACAAAGGGGTTTATTAAACGAAACGGAACACCAGAGGCTACACTACAAATAAAGGGACCATGTGTATGTGCTCTGATTTAGCTCCATAGTACGGAAAAAACAACAAAAACTACGAAAAAAAAAAAAACGAAAAGTAACAACTAAGGAAAAGAGCAATACAGGAAGCAGAACTAGATAAACAACACGCGGCAACGTGAACATAGACGCTTAACACGATGACTGATTGGAGAAATGAACAAAGGCAGGCACTTAAATACACTGATAATGAGGACTAACAAAGGGCAGGTGTACATCATCAAAAACGACCAATCAACAAGGCCATGGAACAACAAGACACAGGTGAAATAACTTACAATTAATAAGAGCATGAACCAGGCAACCTAACAAACCTCACAACCAAAGGGTTTACCGTGTCAAGGCCTCACACTTAGCCTATTGAGGGGGAAACACACTAGGGATTTCGAACTAAGATAGAGGTGGGAACAGGATGGATAGCAACACCTGCTGGCCAAACGGGGACCAATAAAATAGGACAGGGATGGACAGGCACTGGCCCTGGCAGTTATGCATAGCTGTAATAAGTGCACCTTTGATACTGCATCCACATGAGGTTTGAACAAGAGGTTTGGATCTAAGATGGTGCCAAGGTTACAAGCTGAGCTGCTGAGGCTGAAGTTCAGACCCTCAGAGTGGAGTGTAAAGATTACAGCAGTACTGACTGTGTTCTTCTCTCTGATCAGCAGAACGTTGGTTTTCTCCTCATTCATTGACAAAACCTAACACTTGAAAATTTTCACATTGATTAGTCAAACAGGAATTAAACTACTTCAACACCATTCCACATAAACCAACATCAAATTCAATTCTATGTAACAGAGTACAATGGTGAATCAAAGTGTGTCAAAAGCCACAATCATCTCTCCAGCCTGCCCTGGGTCTGCCCCGGGGCCTCCTCCAGGCTGGGCATGCCCGAGAGACCTCCCCAGGGAGGCGTCCAGGAGACATCCTACACACAGTAGATTAGCGTTTCCCAACCCAGTCCTCGGGGAACCCTGGACAGTCCACATTTTTGCTTCCTCTCAGCTCCCAGCGCACCTGTACCACGTATTCGGTGTTCCTGATTGGCTGGGAGCTGGGAGGGAGCAAAAACGTGGACTGTCCAGGGTTCCCCGAGGACTGGGTTGGGAAACACTGCAGTAGATGACCGAACCACCTCAACTGGCTCCTGCCGATGCGGAGGAGCAGCAGCTCTACTTAGAGACCCTCACCCATACCTCTAAGGCTGAGCCCAGACACCCTGTGAACAAAACTTATTTCTGCTGCTTGTTTCCGCCATTTCATTCTATTGTCACTACACCAAAGCTTGAGACCATAGGTAAGGGTAGGAATGTAGATCAACTGGTAAATCTATAACTTTGCCTTCCGGACGCAGCTCTCTCTTCACCATGACAGAATGATAGTGTCTGTGTCACTGCTGACGCTGCACCAATCCGCCTGTCAATCCCCTGCTGCCTTCTTCACTATTGTCATAAACTACAGCTGTGGAAAATAATTAAGAGACCACTCCATTTTTAAAAAAAAAGTCTGCATTATTTAATCTTAATCTAATCCTTAATTTAATTTAACAAGAGACCTTAAAAAAGAATGGGAAACATTTAGTGATGTGAAGTGCACTGCTAGGAGAAGTTCGTAACAGGCTCTAAGAAGCAGGACTGAAGGCCCATAAAGCAAGGAAGAAGCCCTTCAACAATGAGAAGCAGGGAAGAGCCAGGTTGGAGTTTACAAAAAATGTATATTTTACACAGAAGCATACCCATAAATTGAGAAATGAGTGAAACTAAAAATGTTGATGTGGTCTCTTAATTTTTCCAGAGCTGTAAATGTCATAAAATTTCATATTTCATACTTACCCCTGCACAGATCTACATTCCATGAGTGAGCACAATTCAATATTTTGCTTCACCAAAGCACATACATTCTCAATAGCTTTCATCCTACATTCATCTACGAAACATTTGCTGCTTAACAGGTACAGACGGAAAAACACCGCTATTCACATGAAGTAAATGTGACCACAATTGAGCGAGAAGTAAACCACAGAGCTAAACAGATATATATACCATATAAACAGAAATATGCCACCAACCAATAGCTGTATAGCTCAAATTGTAAACTATTTTAATGCAAAGTACGTCTGCCAATGTTATAAATACAGTGGTACCTCAGAACTCGAATTTAATCCGTTTAATCCGTTCAGAACTCCAGATCGAATCCTAAAAAGTTCGAGTTGTGATGGAATTTTCCCCATAAAAAATAATGGTAAACCAATTAATTGGTTCCCGGCCCCAAAAAAATTACACCTAAATATGTTTTTTTTTAGCATTTAAACACAAAATGAACCGGATAAAACAGGAAGAGCATATACTATACTAAACACATCCAAGCACATTTATCAAAACAGTAATTTGTAAAGTAAGAAAATAAATGTATCCAAACAATGTGTCCTGCCCCGATTGTCCGCTCCTTCCGTGTGCCACGCCCCCTCGTTGGCCCCCGTGTGGAATCCCAGTCTGATCAGCTGTTTCTGGTTGTTGTCATTAGTCCTCTGTATTTAGTCCGCATTTCAGTTTGTTTCCCCAGTCCGGTCATTGTATTGTCCGTCTGCGTTTTGCCTGCCTTGCCTGTAATTATACTCCATATTCCCCGATACCCTGACATCTGCGTCTCCGTCCTGCTCGGCACAACAATATTATTATAATTAAACGTATTAATGGTTTATCATTAATATTAAAATAATGAATAAAAAATCTTTATTTTAAAATGTATTTTATTATATAATAATAATTACTGTTACTGTCTATCATTGTCTAAATGTATGTATTCAGTTATTGTAAACATGCAGGATGCTATCACAGCAAATGCCAGGCTGAGACTGAAGCTTTACCCTTTGTTTCCGCAGAGAGACGTGCCGCGTGACTCATTTCCCAGAGCGTACTAGTTATCTTAGGTCGGCGTTCACGGTTTGACTTCTGAGATTCAGATCGAGCTCTAGGTAATTTTTTTTCGAACTGGTTGGTTCAACTTTTAAGAAATTCGAGTTCTAATGAGTTCGAGAACTGAGGTACCACTGTAATTCATAGATTCTAACATCTGAAACATCAGAAGCTAATATAACCCAAAATTTTAGCCAAAATAACAGGGCACTGTGGCTCATTGAGTGCCTCACCTTTCCATAGATATGGGTTTGAATCCCACCCCTGCATCTCATACTGGGTTTTATCCTGCTTTGTGCCCTGTGCTGCGTGGGATAGGCTTTAGGCCCCCGTGACTCTGTAATTTATAAGTTGGAAGACGGATGGATTATCATTACCCTATATCTGACCTATACATCCATTTAATCAGGGACTTTTCTAAATAGTAAAAAGGTTTTGTGCTGATAAGCAGGGTGGGCCAATCCCATAGGCTCGGGATTCCCAACAGAAGGGCTCCAGTCCAGTACTCCTTGCCCGCTGTCTGGTACCAGTCCTTATCACAGAACGCTGGGGGTTTGCGGAGGGGCTGCTTATTTTCTAAAACAAATAATATATTTATTTTTTTAACGACCTCTCACATTCATGCCTTCTGATCGAATCTGGGTGAAAAAACGGTTTAACTTATAAACGGTTTAACTTGATAAACCGCCAAAGGATCCGCCAGCAGCCAATTTCGTGAAACTTTTGTACTGTACGTAAACCAGTCCGCGGACCTCGGAAAGTTGGGAAGCGCTTTAGTTATAGTCGACTTTACTTAGCGCGCCGGTGTTGTGTCGATATATGCTAGGGTGACCAGATAATCCATGTCAGGGAGGACACTTTCAGCTACTTCGGGTTTTACAAACTACTTTCGAATTGAAAGGCTCCTGCGCTCAGCTAAATAGTTCAGCCCTTCTTGTGCTTTGACTTGTGTTTGTTTCCTTGACTGAAAGACTCATCCAGCATGATTATAGGAGATTGACCAATCAGCACACAGCAAGAACTCAGTTCTCAAGTGACATCCAGGTCCGTCTAATTGAAATGGTAATTTACAATTCCTCTCCTGGCTCAGAGTGTCCTCCCTGACATGGATTATCTGGTCACCCTAATATATGCTGCCTTGTCGAAAAATGCTACCGTAGTGCTAATCGATAGCCCTAACACTAACTCTTACCCTAACCCTAACCCCCCAAAACCCTTAAAACCCTTACCTTAACCCTAACCCCTAAAACCTAACCCTAATCCCAAAACGGTGGAACTGCACATGAGTAGAAATGCTCGATAGGTAGTATTTTATGACAGAACACCGGCCAAACCTGGAGACTTGACAGCTATGCACTCTAAGCGCAATTAATGCAACAGCAATCCGCCCGGAGCCATACGCAGGAGATAGTCTTTAGTAACAAACATAATAATGATAATAATAATAGCTTGAGGTTATGATTACGGTAATTATTAACTTCCTTTCAAGGAGGAGGGATTGTCGGGAATAAACGTAGGCTACAGCCCGCCCTTTCGTGTAAATCAGGCAGGGAAGACGCCGTTCAAAGCTTCGGGAAAACGTTATTGCAATTTACCGAACCCATTAGGTAAGTCTGTGAGATGAGAGGCTTTTTTCATGTGGGATATTCTGAGTTGTATTGTCATATTTAACATAAATATAATGTAAAGATAATCACAGCTAACTTTGAAATTGTGTTTATAATGCTCTAGTTTGGCAAAGTGGAATTTCCCTGGTTATGAACTTCCTGTTTGTGTAAGTGAATATAAAGATCATAAAGTAGCTTGTATTGCACAATGAATACTTTGTCGTTAAAAACAATCGGAGAAGCAATTTTAGTAGGACATTAAATCATATTAAGCAACATTATAATCGTCATGCAGTATAATCGCAAACAAACAAGAATCCTCAGATTTCTTGGTCTAAGTTAATTTAAGTGACCGTTTGAGGTTATATGGTAATTTTGTTTTGATTCTGCTGGAGGGTTTTCACTGTACCAGTAGGATATGTTGTATGCTGAGATGAGCGGGATCTGCTGGGCTTTCCAGTCTCGTCTTATTAAACATCAGCTGTGACTTCAGTCTCCATTACTTCCCTTACTTTCCTTTCCTTTTTGCTGTAAGCGGGTTAGGGCGTTCTCTACTGATTTTTGTCTTGCCTTCCATGCAGATGCAGTTGTGTGTTATTTGAGACTTGAGACTACATGCTTTATAAATGGAGGTGCTTCTTGTGTATTCCTCCTTTTGTTTGTTATTCTTTCCCCGGGTCGTAATAAGTTGGCAGCGTGGGGGTCCTGTGCGTAACTCAGTAACTACGCCATGTCTGTGGGTGTACAGTTTGTTCCTGCCCCTGGCTTTGTGTTCATGCGTGTGTGTGTGTATTTAGTGATTTGGACGTGGACTGTAAGAAACTTTATATTGATTAAGGTAAATTTAGAGTCCTACCAGTTGTAGGCCAGATCAAACTACCATTTTCTTGGATTTAAACAAGTGGCACTTCAGTGTTGATGCACAGTTACATAAACCAGGCTGACATTTGACTAGTGTGTGTCTCATAACGTTGAATTTACTGACATGTTTTGGGTGAAAACAAGCCTTGAGATTTGGGTGTACAGTACAAAAACATAAATTTTTCATGTATCCAAAAACATAATATTGCATAACAGAAAAACCTGATATGCCAGAAGGAAATACTGCAGATGGTAAAAAAAGACGGGAAAGAGAGTGAGGGTGAATCTCAGTATGCGTACATGACCGTACTTGTGTTCTTGTGTACCTGTTTCAGTGTTTCCCCTAGATTTACAGCTTTGGGGGGGAGGGGGCGACACCGACAGGATTCATGATGTTCATGATGTTTCTGAACATCATAACATTTCTGCTATTCGCAGGAGAGCAAGTGTTTCCATCTTCACCACCGTGTGAGCGTTTAAAAGACGCAGATATTTTTGTCTGCCTTTCAGGTGGTTGACGCACGACGCATGCTCTCTGTCCGCTGGTGGGAGTGCGCGCTCACCTGTGTGTGCGCGCACATGTCTGTGCGCGCGCATGCGGGCGGAACTCCGCCATGCGCGATACAGAGAGCGGAGGAGAATTGTAAACGCCCGACCGTGTAGAGACAAAAATGAAGCTGTTCCGTAAATAAGATAAATAACATAAGGCTATTTAGTTTGTTTAATAAAATGACAATGTTTACTGCTATGTACTATAGGAAAGGTAACCTTAAATGACTTCTGATGTGATCTGGCGCTATGTAGAGAATAAAATTAAATAAAATGAACTTGACCTTCAAGGGGGAGTGGGAGGTACAGTCGTGGGGTGCGGGGAAAACATTGCGTTTTACGTCATCTTCCATTGCCGAAGCCCTGTTCCAATACTAACAACAGAAGTACACCACAAGTACGGTCTTGTATTCTTGGTATCGAGATTACCTAAACTCTTATTGGACGATCATTGCTTCCTAATTAATTGAAAAAAGTCAACCCTCCCCACATATGCCTTTTTTTAGGCTCATAAAACATAAAATGCGAAGTGAGCAGTAGCCTATATCCGAATGCGGATGGATGAGACCTTAGACAAACATTACTCATTACTCAGGTGACATGCCACATTCTGCAAAGTTCCATAGTGTGCAACCAATGGATGCTATGCTGCTATGCTATCATACACAACCGATGGATGCTATGCTGCTATGCTATGCTACACAACCGATTAATGCTAATGCTGCTATGCTATCCTACTGGCTCACTTAAGCAAGGAAGAAAGTCACTTGCTCAGAATTTTTTGCCAATATGGTGGAAGAAATTCCATCTCTGTATAAATTTATGTAGAAAACAATGACATTAGTTGGACTGAATTTTTTTTCGTTGATAGTTTTAATATAGTTTTGAACTTTCTTGTAGTTAAGTCATGTCATTGGCAAACATCTGGTTCAGGCAAATGCAGAATGGTAGATGTGGTGTATCCAAGTGCATACATACAGTACGTACTCTATTAACGGCTAAGCAGAAGCCTTCTGATGAAATTCAGTGTCTACTGTGAAAACACATGATTTTGGATGCACCCTTATTGCAAAAGACATTTTAATTTCATGATAAAGTAATCAAACAAACCAGGCAAACGAGAGCTGGAGTGAAACATTGTCAAGACAACCAATCGACTAGAACACCAGGTAACTAATAAAGATGATCACAGAACTAGGAGTCTTAACAGACAAACTAGGATACATTAATCTGACAGTAGGAATACTAATTAAACTAATTATAGAATCAAAAGGTAGAAAACAAAACCAGAATAGAAAACGAGGGCGAACCAAGGGCAGGAACTAAGAACCGACCCTGACATACAGTAATTTTTGTGCATTTTTTTATAAATATATTTTGTAATTATCCCATTCATATACTGTGCTAATCACTTGATTTATCTCTCCAGTTGCCAGGATGCCAGTGTCTGTGACGAAAGCTGATGGGGTCACAGTTTTTACTGTGAAGTCTAACACAAAAAGCAAAGTTCCCCTGATGTTCCAGCTTCTGGCGGCCATCTGCTGCAGCCCAGTGTGTTCTGTGTCCCAGGGGCTGCACAGGCTCCTGGGTACAGCACAGTCAGCACTTGGGGTACGCACTGCTTTGTTACCCTTAGGGCAGCGTTTCCCAATCTGGTCCTTGGGGACCTGCAGACAGTGGGCTGTCTGGCAGAGAGCTGGGAGGGAGCAAAAACGTGGCCCCATTTCTGAGTCCCCAGGAACCAGCTTGGGAAATACTGCCCACCGACCATTTTTAACATATATGAATTAGTTTAATATTGTTATGCGGGAATGCTAACGGAATGACAGTTAAAATCTTTATAGATAATAGAGGTAATACTTTTATCCAGTTACTTTGGTACACGATTAAACCAACTGAGCTTACCACAAACTGAAAGGCAAGTTTAATAAACAAATTTTAGCTTCTTTTTGCTGTGCTTAATCCATTTGAATCAGCAAATAAGGAGTAGAACATGTGAGGCATCGGCTTGTGTTCAATGTCCATTGGAATGGCTTTCAGAAATCTCTGAAACAAGATCTGCATCACTTTGACTTCCACGATTTGTTGAAATCTCGTTACAGACTGTCCAGATCTTGCTGGGGCTTTTCAACATTGGCCTGGGAGCTGTAATCACAACTGGTAGCTATTTCTACTATGGACCCTTGGTGTCAACCAATGCCCCCTACTGGATAGGAGCAATAGTGAGTTTGCCTTTCTATTATGTTTTATTATGAAATACATAGACGGTTTAAAAATACCTTGCATCTTCCGGATAATAGTTTAATACTGTCTTTTTTTTGACAGTTCATTGTTGCTGGAATCATGTGTATTCTCACTGAAAGATTTCCAAGTCAGTGCTTGGTGAGTTCTTTAAATCCATCCGTCTTACACCCACTCGTTCTTATTTTAATAACAATAAGTCAGTCTGCCTCAATTATAAGTTGCCTAATCTAATTGACTTGGCCATCTGCTTTTTCTATGAACAGCAAGAGTCCAAATGTTGATGTCATAAAGAGGACACGTTATATATTACAGAAAGATAAATATAAATGATTATTGAGCTTGATCATCAGACATAATGGGAATTGAAAACCAGGAAGTATTTTATCTGTGTATCATTATCTGATCACTAACTAGTTGCTACTCATTTTCTTTGGGGTTAAACATTCTGTTTTATTTATTGCTTTGCTCTATTACTTTTTTGCAATATGACCAAGGAGGAATGGAATTTTATTTGTGTATGACATCTGCAATAGAGAGCTGAAATGACAAATACACTTTAATATAATCACAGACAGAAACTAGCTAACCAGTCAAAGGTCAGTCAGAAGAGATTGTCTTCCTCCCACACACTGTCGCACGCAACACACAGCGACATCACACCCTCAGATTACTTAAGTGGAACTTGTAGAGCTTTCACACACCTAGTAAGCGAGCCCTATTTCAGTGGTTCATAAGTCAAGATGAACCTGCTGATGTCTGATTCATTTATTAAACATGTTGGAGGTCTTTAGTAGCCAAAGTAAGAAAATCGCAGCAAAGCTTGCTTGGGATTCTCCCCCATTGCTAGATATTTTTGCTGTTATTGTGTCAGTTGCTCTTTTGCTGTTAACTTAATCAGTTTTTGGCTATGTTCCCAGTGCGCTTCTGTCTATTTGCATGTGTTTAATGGTGAGAATTAGCCTTTATTGAGATATTAAGTCAGTTGTGAAATTACTCTGAATATAAACTGAATAATTTAGGAATCATGGTTATTTTTCCCATTCACTTTGTTAGTTGAGGAAACCAAACAAGCTCCAAAAAAATAAGATTTCTTAAGGTGTTTTGCCCCCATAAAAAAACTTTTATAACTGATAAGTTGCAGTCATTATGCAGGCTTCTCTGTAGGGTACTGTGTCACTTAAGGGTACATCACAGTAACGTCTCTTTAGGACTTTAGGACACATCCTCATTACAGCCCAATGGCCTTTACTGCTACACTACATGGTGTAGAAGAATGTGGCAAACTGATTGCTTTTACATCTGTCATTGTCTAGACACTTATTCTGAACAGCCTCTCTGGCGGGTCTGTAGTTTCATATGACGCAGGGCTGGGGGATACCCAGAACAGCAATCCAGTGCATCACACGGTTGTAGGACGTCCTAGACAGACAACCAGTGCATCACAAGGTTGTAGGACATCCTGGACAGGAAAGCAGTGCATCACTAGATTGTAGGACGTCCTGGACAGGAAAGCAGTGCATCACAAGGTCGTAGGACCTATCAGTTCAGTACAGCAAAATGAAGCACTGTAGCAGCGCTGTAACAGTGCCAGTGCTGGTATGGATTTCACCCCTTTGTTTCTTGCCCACAGGTCTTCCTGAATGCATGCATGAGCTTTGTTTGTGGCGCGATCGCCGTGACCGCCATCGTGCTCTACTCCCTAGACCTGGCTAATGGAGCTGGCGTTCCAGTGATCTGTGAGGAGAATGGGTACAGAGATAGCTACAGAGGCAGCTACGGCTATGGCTATGGCTACGGCTACCGTACAACAATCTCGCCCGAGGTCGCCCGCATGCGAGACATTAACAGGCGCAATATCTTGGAGCTTTGCCAGGAGAAAAGGCACATGATGTTGGTGGGTTGTGTTCGGGACACGTTCTTTGATGCGGTGTGGAGACCATTTTGTTTGTCATTTTATATTTATATTGTTTTGTACATCTGAAACCAAACCATCAATTTATAAACAGTGAATGTGACCGTTATGATGAAAAAGAGTAGTAATCATAGCAATTTCAAGAGATCTGTGCTGTTCCGTTGTGTTAGCTTGGTTCCCTGACTTTAATCTTGTTCTAATCTAAGTGTTTTCCTCTTGTTCACCCCCCCAGATTATGCTCGGGGGAATAGATATTTTGTTGCTCGTCTGTGCTGTTGTACAGCTGTGCATCAGTATCAGTGTCATTGTCCTGAACCTAAAGGCTCTGTATCAGAAAAACAAGGAGGATAAGGTAAATTGTTTGTTTTAATTTTTTTTCCCTTTAAAAATTCAAAAATAGTTTCTATTAACTGTGTCATGTTCACATACTCCCCTGCAACTAAACTGAACATAAACCAGGGAGATCCTTTAAGGCAAGTCACGAGTTTTATTTGCCACATTTACACAGAGTAAAGAGTGTTATGTGACTCTACGAGCAGACAACACTGTGGCAATTTACAAAATACAAATGAAAAATTACAACGTAAAATAAATTTTAATATATAAATCTATATAAGTCTAACATACTCTAGATACAAAATGGTATACAAATGGTACATGGTGGAGATATGTGGCTCTCAATGGAGCTACAGCCATGAAAAAAATGCATCAATGTGTGCATGTGAGCCGTTTCGGAGGATAAATGCGTTCAATTATGGAATGTGTCGTATACTAGGCGCGTACGAGTAGATCACCCAGCATGTAAATGATGACCCATCATATGAATTACAAATGAGAAATGTAACTGAAGTAATTGTCTTTCTGAAACCGTTATTACATATCTATTGTTCCAAATTGATTTGCTGGTCTTTGCAGGAGGACCCAAAGCTCCTTAAACCTCTTCTGGATGAGGTTGCCGTCATTCCTACCGTGTGAAGGAGCGACGCTGCATGCGCTGCTGGCAGAACACACTAGTGCATGCGTCATACAAGCACATTTTCTTGATTTGTGATTCAGAATGAACTTCACAGCTTTGGTCACAGCCCATCAGATGCTTGATCATCCATCTAAATCTCCTAAAATGTTTACATTTATATTGTTTGAGTTATGCATTTATGACTCTTTAAAGGGGCAATATGGAAAGAGGGAGCACTTTTCTTTTTAGTGATCTTTAAATGATTGTTTATGTAATCATCACTTTGTACTCTTTTGAATAAACGAAATCAGCATAACTGAGCTGTGAATTGGAGAAATACCATCTAAAAAGGAATTCGGCACCACAGACCAGCACATGCATGATGAAACTTTAAGGTCAGAATTCATCATTGTTACTCTTTGAACTTCTGTAATAAAGCAGGTTACTCAAACTACACCTTTCAACTACTGGCAGTAACATCAGTAGGGAAAGCACTGCAGCAATTTCTTTCAGTAGATGAAGTGTTTTGTAAATTTTCCACAGTGCGATTTCCCCATGGTGGCTGAAACCTGCATAGGAATGGCACACTTAGTGCCTCTCGTCTCCGAAAGGTTTCAGTCTCTCAGAAAACTTACCGTACTTCTCTAACAGGTGGCAAGCACAGACCACTGTGATAGTCAACAAATGTCAGAATGACATTTCATTAGGATGCAAAGTAGGGTAAAAACAGCTGTAAATTAAACACAATTGTACCTGTATACATCAATAAATGGTAAATGAGTTTGCAAACCACAAGATAATCAGCAACTTCGATGTGGTCATAAGGCAAAGAGATTACAATGCAGCGTAAGCTTGGGCTCTTGTCTGTTAAAAAAAGCAAACTCAAGCTTGATATCAGTCAGCTTCTCATGACAGTTGACTGAAAAAATGTCACAAAACTGATTTTAAAACATCTTGTCTTTATCAATCTGCACTTTTGTAAATAGCGTGTCAACAGCTACGTTTAAACGTCATTGTTCTGCTTCCCACAAGTGACAGTTAACAAAAAAATAACACTATGGAACTTCATAAAGTCATACAAAATCCCAAGGCAGGGATATTCAAATCATGGTCCTTAATGGGAAGCCTCTGTGGCCAAGCAGAATCATTTTATTGAACTAACTACCTGGGAGAACTGAAAACACTGCTTGGATCTGGTTATGTGTTTTTCTTCACATTAGCATTAGCTGCATGAGCTAGATAGGCATGTGGTTCTGTGGGTCAGGCCTCTGTACCCATCAGAGGGTCTCCAGTTCCAATCTTACAGTCAGGTGATTTCACAGTTGAGCCCCTGAGCAAGACCCTTAGCCCCGATTGTTTTGCGGACCGGCTTCCTCAATAATGTGTCACTTTGGAATAAAAAGCATCTGCTAAACAAATAATTGTAACGTAAACACTGAACAGGTGGTGCGTGAAGATGGCATAGCGAGAACGAACTACTGCTCTCCAGAAATACCTTTACGACCAGGTCTGGCACAGATTGCTGTTTTTTTCAGTGCAGAGGAAAGGATGATGATAGCTTCAGGGGTACTGAGAGAGTTAGAAGGTATCCATTGGCATTTTCAGGACTGCATTAAATACATAAGAAAATACATAAATGTATATAAACTGCTCACATTTCACATTTGCTTTATGACAAAGCCTGTCTTTGCTTTTAATGCTCTGACATTCCTGTGTTGTAGTTAGCATGTTATAGACAAGATTACAAACTGGTTACCATCAGAATTGAAAATGTGGACTATGACCGTCCTGAAGTCCAGATTATCTCCAGATGAGCACATTTGTGAGTGACACAGTTCCGGGATAAAGGATCGGAGAAATGACACGTCACATGAAATGTGAGGCATCAAACAGCAGGTGGAGACAAAGAATGAACTGGAATCTTTCAATGTTCCACATATGTCTCTTAGAAGATCATGGCACAGAATTCAGACTTCAGACTTCCATGTACTGTGTAAGAATTAAGGAACAACAAAGATCAGTGTAACAAGCTGCATTACAGCAGATTTTACTAATTACACACACTTTTAAAACAATGCAAGATGTTACTTTCTTAGTATTTATACAGCTGCAAATCACTTATGTCATTCATATGATGTTCTTTGACCCAGAATCTAAACTAGTAATGAAAAACAAATATTATACAGGTTGGTATAATTAGAATTAGAACAAAAGACAAGGTGAGACAATTCAAAAATCTTAGTTATAAATGGGGGGACATCATGGATTTCATTAATACCCCTGAATCTGTATACCACGTATTCTGAGTTTTTTTTTCCCCCGAAGTCTAACACATACAAATGGACTTGGGTCTCGGAACTGTCTATAATGTGCACCCTATTATCAGAGGTGCTGCTTGAGATTTTTGACCCCCCAACCCAGATCAATACAATTTATTAAATTTTTTAGGGTCCCTGTCATTCAAAGGCCCTTGGAATGGTTCTAGCCCTCTCCTTTTACAGCAGCCCTGCCTATGATGGATTGGCATCCCATCCATCGTGTCCCCTGCCTGCTCTGCTTCCCTCGACAGGCTCCAGGTTCCCCGCATCTCTGGCAGTGTATGTTTGTGGAAATGGGACAGAGATACAATTAAGCCTGAAGCCATGTAATTCCTGCAGGATTGCGTTCCTGCTACAGGGAAAGAAAAATCGATGGTGTAAATTGACTTGGAGTTGTTTTGTACACATTTGCACTTTAGCGGGGAGTGAAGTTCTAGATTGCAGAGGAATTCCTAAATGCAGGAAGCGGGAAAGGAGGCCGCTGGAGTTTGGGGCTGGCAAATTTTTTACCGCCACTGATCATTTTTAATCCTCTGAGGAAACTGATCAATTGAATGGTGGGCAGAACATAAGAACATAAGAAATTTACAAACGAGAGGAGGCCATTCGGCCCATCGAGCTCGTTTGGGGAGAACTTAACTAATAGCTCAGAGTTGTTAAAATCTTATCTAGCTCTGATTT